TGTCCGATTTTGGGCGAAAATGATTTGGCAGCACTGCAGTTGTGACTAGGCATCGGCGGCTAACGCTCGTTTTTCACAGTATAATGCTTTTGGCAGTGCTCGATATTTCACGGCATAATGCCTGTTATAATGCTCCATTCACACTATAATGCTCCACCATCTGGTGTTACTGTGTGACTTCAGTGATACACCGGTTCTCGTTTTCCAGGCCAGTCGTGCCGCTGGGCTCTTTGCAAATAGGCTCACCCACCAGGTTGCGAACTCAGGCAGGATAGGTGTTGCAAAGCGGCGGCCAACATTGTCCAGGGCATGGGAGGCGCAAAGGACGTCCATAGCTCTGGGAAAGAAGAGGTTCTTAACCGGGTCCACAGCAACACCGTTCACTGCTGCTCCATCTCGAACAAATGCAACAAGTTTGCCATCTGCCAGTTGGAAAGTTGTGCTGAGGCAAGTTGCAAGCTCGCGTGCCAGCTCCAAACCAGTCATGGACTTAGCCAGCACATGCAAACGCACTAAACGTTGCTGCACTTGCCAGTCGTCATCCAGGAAACGCACTGGAATGGCAAAGGCCTCTCCAAGGTATGTTGTTCCGTCAAAAATGACAGCAATGTGCCGGGCCTACTTCACTTCTTCCTTCAGTTTAGCTTTCTCTGGTTCCAACAAGAAAGGTATAATTTGCGCCAGATGGGTGCTGAACGTCAACCTGGAGTTGTTGGCCTCTAGAAGGGGTCGAAGGTAGTCCACCTTCGCTAGTGGTATGCCAGCCTTCAACATCGCTTCCACAACGTTCGTGCGTCTCATGATGGTGGAGTCATCCATAGCCGTACTGAGGCCGGTGCCCTTCAACTTCTCCTCGTGCTTTTCCTGGTACTTCTTCCAGGAAGTTGTCAAAGTTGCCTGGTGAGCAGCCGCCTTTTTCCTTTGATCCTTGGCTCGACGATGGCGATCTGTTGAAATGTGGCCCTTTACGATGCTCTTCTTTGGCATCACAACAGTGTGACAAGCGTCACAGAACAGCTGTCCGGCTGATATACACAAGTGCTCCCCTGGGAACTCTTCAATCCGTTTGGCGGAGTTGACGCGAGACACCGTCGTAGATGCCCCTCCTCGCACTCTTGTTCTGTTTTTTTTTTTTGGTTTGGAAGACCGTTCAAATGACCTGGGCCGGGATATTGCTGCATCCTTTGCTTTGGGCTGCTCACATTCTTCTTCCTCTGTTTCCTCATCGGAGTCATCACTTAACTCCATTGTATCTTCATAGTCACTGTCCATGGTCGCTGCAATACAGCAGCAGCTAGGTAAACATCCAACGCGACCACACGACACTCAACAGATGCAAGAGAGCCGTTTTCTTTTGAGCTTTGTAGTTTGTGCAGCTCTCTGCTCTGCGCCGAAAGAGCACACAGAGATCTCGAGAAACCTGTTTGCGCCAGGTCAAAGTGCATACGCGAGCACAAAACGGACACAGGATATACCCACACATACACGGTACTAGAATGTGTACAGTTCGAGTACACTACCGCTAGTCTGTACTAGACTGTAGTCAGTACTATACATCATTGTACAGTCCTGCCAGATGAAATCCGAAGCGTCACAGTATGTACAAGCCTCTTGTCATGTGAAAAGACGTGTAAAAAGTCTTGTATTGTACCAAAATAGAACTGATAATGCTTTCTCCAGCCAAAAACATGCCACCTAATGCCGAGCACTGCTACTTCTTCAAACGTCAGGCGAAATTACTGGTCAGTCGGCGTCACGCATTTTTCACAAAAATTTGCGTTTCACCTGCTGGGAGAGTATGCGTGTACTCGAGTCTCATCCTGAGCACGTTTTTTTCTTCTTTTTTTCAGCTCCAGTATAGCTGTATTTTTCATTGCAAAGCCGTCCTCGATTGTTGTGTTCGTTGTTCAAACGAAGGGGACATTCAATCATGAAGGCAGAGGACATAGGAGCCTGATTGGAGTTTCTCGTGGCATAGGACGCCCACACAGAGACACTTTGGGATTTTCTGAATATAAAATACCGTACGCACGATGCTGAGATCAATTTGTGCGATATCAAATTGTTTGTGATCTACCACATCGAGCAGAACGAGATCCAAACACAAGCTTACCGACGGTTAGGCTGCCGACCTGACTGGACAAATGATCCCTGGCTTCACCAGACGCCAGACGTCGGACACCATGTCCTTTGCCGCGACGTCCATCTCCAAAAAGAACTCCATCTTCGTCGTGAAAAGGCTTGAAATACTCAATATTCAACCGAGATTCGCGGTCTCACCCTTTCTCAGATCGAATCATTTTTTGTTGTAGCAGTTGCAGGGCAGATCCCCGCCACTACTTCAACAGAAGATGGCTCCAAAGCATGCCTGGAACGAGCCATATCGATGTTGCAAGCCACCCCTCTCAGCACTTTTTTTGAAGAAATTCGAAATTTCAATGGTGGAAGATATACTATGAAGAGAATTTCAAAAAGCATATTTCGCGGAGCGATCGCTCAACCTACGTCATTCAAACTTTGCAGGATGGTTCAGACGTACATGCTAGGCATGGAACCACAGAAGATGATATCATAGCTGACACACAGAGTCACACACACAGCAGATTCGTGTGCACAGATACTAAATTAGTGGACGTCGTCATCTTCTTCCCGCTGATCTCAAATGTACGATGACGTGCTATTTCGCCTGACGACACCCATATAATGCTAGTTATTATGCTAGCATTAGCCGCCGATGCCTAGTTGTGACCAGCAATCGCATGTGGGAATTAGTGCCCTACTCAAGTGCATACATGCTTGGCTCTTATGCATGGTAGATCTACAGTGCATCTGTTGTGATGCACTACATGTACAGCACAGCATGCACTACATGTACAGCACAGCATGCACTACATGTACAGCACAGCATGCACTACATGTACAGCACAGCATGCACTACATGTACAGCACAGCATACACTACATGTACAGCACAGTAGCATGCATCCAAGTAGCTTCACAGTCATTAGTATGTGTAGGAGACAATGTGGCTATTTTGAAACAGCAATGACAGCTTCATCCATAAACGAGGAGTGTGGGGAATGTCTTTGGCAAGTGAGAGCTGTTGCATTGGCTAGCTGTTCATCCCAGCAAGGGGGAATGTGCTGGTTATCGATACTAAACACCGGTTCATCGCGGTGGTGAGACTGAGCAGACCCCGAGGTACGACTGCTTCGTATACTTAATGTGTACAGTGCGTATGGTGAAACAAGTCGACACTGGTTTCCAGCGAAATGTTATTGTTGTACGATATCCACCAATATGCTTTATCTAGGACCCAAACGATATCCAATTTATCAGGATTTGTGGCCTTACTATTTTTCAATTCTCCGCGTTTTGGGTTGAAATCTGAACATAAAAAGTAGCACTGATGACGTCATTCTGCTCATAATTGAAATTTGATACCGGCAATCGATGACAACTAATCCAATGTATCGATACACAAAATTTGGTTGAAAAATATTGATGTATGCCAAAGTTATTACCAATACAAGTTTTGTCAGGGGCGTCACCCGTGAGGGGCACGGGGGCACGTGCACCCCCTAAAAATTTCGACCTTGTTTTTTTGCGAACTGCTGGTTATGAAAAGTGTAGTGCTGGTAGAATCTACTAATAAACTGCATGCACTAAAACTAGTTTTACTGCGCTGCTGCGATCGCGTGAGTGCATGTAGCGAGTGCATGTAGCGAGTGCATGTAGCGAGTGCATGTAGCGAGTGCATTTACATGACCGATTGCACTAGTACTCTACTACTACTACTGCTACTAATTTAGTATTTAAAGTTACCTACTACGCACGTAGATCTACGCCCGTGCACATGTGCGCAGCTCTGCATCCTTTGGCCTTGTACTAGAATCTACACGCGTGTCGGCATTCTGGGTGTTTGTTTGAAACAGAAGAAATACACAATTCAGGACACACAGAACACACATGACCTATTCCGTCATCGCCTCTGCTGTTCCGAACCTGCTCAACCCCCCATGGGGTCCGCATAGCCGGAATATGGTATCGTGTCCAAGGTCCAAGGTGTGTGTGTTGTTATTATTGTTGAAATTTTATTTTGTATCGCTGACCAAACGGGCAATGGTGCCCAATATTAAGATGGCGATAAAAGTAACGGCCGAAAGCCAAGGATACAACAAGCAAGCCTCCACGAAAGAGAGAAAAACACAGAAAACACAGACAGCAAATACTCAAAAAGAAAAAAGAGAAAGGGAAAAAAAGAAAAAAAGAAAAAGAAGAAAAAGTATGAGGGAAAAAGGAAAGAAGAACAAAAGATAAACATAACGAAAAAAAGCACAGCTGAGTTACAGTTGAGTCACGACTCCAAGTGCAAACCTAGATGCTCGCTAGCCATAAAAATATACCTTTAAAAGTCTCTTGAATGATCTATGGCAGGCGAGGGACTTGAACTTTTGGGGCAGGGCGCTCCATAATCTAACAGCAGAAACGAGCGGCCGACAGTCACCAGAGACCCGCCTCGTGGCAGGGAGAACATACGCATTTGGATCATTGATCCGAGTGACGCCTTCAGTATGGCGACGTAGGCGCTTGCACAGAGGATTACTAATTCTGGAGGTGTGGATACGAAGCATGAGGAGGCGGAGTTTACAGTGGGTGTTTTGGATGATGGGGATGAGGCCAAGATGGGTGTAGATCGGATCTGTGTTGGAGGGGAATGGCTGGTTGGCAACGCAGCGGATACATCGCTTGTGGAGGACCGATGTGTGTGTGTGTGTATGTGTGCGTGTGTGTGTGTGTGTGTGTGTGTGTGTGTGTGTTTGTATATACATGTATTATGTGTGTTTGTGTGTGTGTGTGTGTGTGTGTGTGTGTCTGTGTGTTTGTATATACATGTATGTGTATGTGTGTGTGTGTACTTGTGCATTGGTACATGGGTGCATACACATGTGTGTGCATGTGAGAGAGTGTTTATGTGTACCTATCTTATCATGTATATAGGTGAACAAGATACAACTGCAGCATGTGAACGCATAGTGGAAATGCAAAACCAGACCAACACAACTGTCCGTCAACTACAGGAGCAAAGTGCTACAACTTCCACAAGCATTGGACAACTACTGGAGCAAAGTGCTACAAGTACCACCAATATTGATCAACTGCAACAGCACCAGCAGGACACTAGTGATAAGCTTTCACGTGTCTCAGCAGCTGTTACCACTATTCAACAAGGTGAGTACATTTTTTTAAGGTCAACAGTAAAACCTATAACTAGAGACCAGTGTGACTAGTGACCAGTCTATCCCTACTGACCAGTGTGACTAGTGACCTGTCTACCCCTACTGACCAGTGTGACTAGTGACCAGTCTATCCCTACTGACCAGTGTGACTAGTGACCAGTCTATCCCTACTGACCAGTGTGACTAGTGACCAGTCTACCCCTACTGACCAGTGTGACTAGTGACCAGTCTACCCCTACTGACCAGTGTGACTAGTGACCAGTCTATCCCTACTGACCAGTGTGACTAGTGACCAGTCTACCCCTACTGACCAGTATGACTAGTGACCAGTCTATCCCTACTGACCAGTGTGACTAGTGACCAGTCTACCCCTACTGACCAGTGTGACTAGTGACCAGTCTACCCCTACTGACCAGTGTGACTAGTGACCAGTCTATCCCTACTGACCAGTGTGACTAGTGACCAGTCTACCCCTACTGACCAGTGTGACTAGTGACCAGTCTACCCCTACTGACCAGTGTGACTAGTGACCAGTCTACCCCTACTGACCAGTGTGACTAGTGACCAGTCTATCCCTACTGACCAGTGTGACTAGTGACCAGTCTACCCCTACTGACCAGTGTGACTAGTGACGAGTCTACCCCTACTGACCAGTGTGACTAGTGACCAGTCTACCCCTACTAACCAGTGTGACTAGTGACCAGTCTACCCCTACTGACCAGTGTGACTAGTGACCAGTCTACCCCTACTGACCAGTGTGACTAGTGACCAGTCTATCCCTACTGACCAGTGTGACTAGTGACCAGTCTACCCCTACTGACCAGTGTGACTAGTGACCAGTCTATCCCTACTGACCAGTGTGACTAGTGACCAGTCTACCCCTACTGACCAGTGTGACTAGTGACCAGTCTATCCCTACTGACCAGTGTGACTAGTGACCAGTCTACCCCTACTGACCAGTGTGACTAGTGACCAGTCTATCCCTACTGATCAGTGTGACTAGTGACCAGTCTACCCCTACTGACCAGTGTGACTAGTGATCAGTCTACCCCTACTGACCAGTGTGACTAGTGACCAGTCTACCCCTACTGACCACTTTGCCGTGCATGTACGTTTCAACTAGCGACAACCTGATGAAAGAGCAGTAACCAACTTCTTGTCCCATTGAGCGGGCTGGCAGGTGATTGGGTGCGTGTGTGTGTGCGTGTGTGTGTGCGTGCGTACATGCGTGTGAAGCGATATCCCTCAATATAACAATGACAATATCCATCAAACGGTCAGTGCTCAATGCTTGTGTGCTGTCGACTCACCTATATGGGTCCGAATGCTGGGTACCGCTACAGGCTGATGTTCATGCGTTGTCTGTCTTTCATCTCCGTTGTGTCCGCACCATTCTGGGCATCAGTCGTCAAGATGTATGGAATGACAGGATAACTAATGTTGAAGTTCTGGAGTGCTGGGGAGATACCTTGGACATGGAGTGTCGTCTCAGCAGACGTCGCCTTGAGTGGCTTGGTCATGTGGCAAGGATGGAGGATGAGCGCATCCCGAAGGCTCTACTGTTCGGTTCGTTTCCAAACAAGAGACTGGCCCATGGTCCGCGGAAAAGGTGGCGAGACTGTTTTCGGAGTGACGTCAAACCGCTTGACGACTGGTATGAAGTGGCCACCTCTTCTCGCTCCAAATGGCGCAAGGCTTACCGTTGTCTGCCAGACAAGCAGAACAGACCTCGACCATCACCGGTTGTGTGCCAAACGTGTCACCGCTCCTTCAGTCGTGTAAGTGACAGGAAGCGACACAAGTGTACAGCTATGCGTGCCCTACCCGTAAGCCAACAGCCAGGAAGCTGTCACTGCGATCAGTGCGACAGATGGTTCCGGAGCAAGGGTGGATTTGCCCGACGCAAGAGCTCGCCAGCAACATCACCAGCAGCGGCATCTTCTGACACACTTGAGTCACCGGTTACAAACAATATGTCCTGCGAACGCTGCAGCTTCCACTGCGCCCGCTGCAAGCGCTGTGTGCTATCGCGCCAAGGTATGAAACGTCACAAGTGCAGCCGTGGCTCGGCCAGAGCATCCAACGCAGACCGTAGCTCCTTCTGCATCGTTTGCAATTGCGGTTGGCGTTTCAGTAGACCACATAACCTATCCCGTCATCGCCCCTACTGTACCGAACCTGCTCAACCCCCATGGGGCACACATAGCCAGAATATGGCATCGCGTCCAAGGTCCAAGGTGTGTGTGTGTGTGTGTGTGTGTGTGTGTGAGTGTGCGTGTATGTGTGTGTGTATGTGTGTGTTTGTGTGTGTGTTTGTGTGTGTGTGTTTGTGTGTATGTCTGTGTGTTTGTATATACATGTATAATTATGTGTGTGTGTGTACTTGTGCATTGGTACATGGGTGCATACACATGTGTGTGCATGTGAGAGAGTATTTATGTGTACCTATCTTATCATGTATATAGGTGAACAAGATACAACTGCAGCATGTGAACGCATAGTGGAAATGCAAAACCAGACCAACACAACTGTCCGTCAACTACAGGAGCAAAGTGCTACAACCTCCACAAGCATTGGACAAATACTGGAGCAAAGTGCTACAACCTCCACAAGCATTGGACAAATACTGGAGCAGCAACAAGACACTAGTGATAAGCTTTCACGTGTCTCAGCAGCTGTTACCACCATTCAACAAGGTGAGTACATTTTTTCAAGATCTACTGTAAAACCAAGAGTAGATAAACAAGAGTGTGCAACTCCGGATTTCTCCTGCACAATCTCCTGCACAATCTCCTGCACAATCTCCTGATACCCCCCCCCCCCCCGCCGATGGCGGAATTTTTTGTTGACGTCACCTTTTTTCAGAAAAACGCGCTTCTTGCCGCAGAGCAGTGTGAGAGCACGTGCTGGGTACCGACATTGTAATGTAAGCTTGGCCAAGTGCACGAGGCAAAACTTTCCAAAAGACTAGCAGCGCGTGGGGGGTCGAAAAGAATACTTCAACAATAAATTCCGCCGTGGGCCAACCCATCCGCGCGGATCCGGGAGTTGCACACTCTTTTTTATCTACTCTTGGTAAAACCTATAACTAAAGATCAGTGTGATTAGTGAGCAGTCTACCCCTGCTGACCAGTGTGACTAGTGACCAGTCTACCCCAACTGACCACTTGCCAGACATGCACACTGTCACATTCAAAATATCACTGTGACTAGTGACAACCTTGTGAAAGAAGAGCAACCAACTTTTTCTTCTCTTCTTGGGCGGGGGGGGGGGGGGGGGGGGGGGTGTGATGTGTGTGTGTATGTATGGTTCAGTGCATGTATGCAAGTGTAGTTAACGGCTGATTTGTAGGAATCGGTGAAACCCGAAAAAAGTTGATGGTTGGCGCCCTCAACTTGCATACCTTTTGACGTATTAGAAAGGGTACGAATGCACCTCGGCTTGCACATGCACACATAACAGAGCTGGTCCAGGGAGATGGTGTTGCAATTAGGTTAGATTTCATTGAGCACAACTTTACCTTGCTGTTACGCAATATCTATATTGTGTGTGTAGGGATAGTATGGATATAAGAATATCTATATTGTGTGTGTAGAGATAGTATGGATATCAGAATAGCTATATTGTGTGTGTAGAGATAGTATGGATATAAGAATAGCTATATTGTGTGTGTAGGGATAGTATGGATATAAGAATAGCTATATTGTGTGTGTAGAGATAGTATGGATATAAGAATAGCTATATTGTGTGTGTAGGGATAGTATGGATATAAGAATAGCTATATTGTGTATATAGAGATAGTATGGATATAAGAATAGCTATATTGTGTGAAGGGATAATATAGATATAAGAATATCTATATTGTGTGTGTAGAGATAGTATGATGGGCCTTGCCCGAAAATTTGATCTAATGTATATCAATTGCAGTGTAGCCTAGAGACCGTTAGAGAGAGTGTGTGTACAAGGTGTGTGTACAGGATGTATGGATTCAAGTATTGGCTACAGTGGAGTCTCCAAACCTTGAGAGATAGTATGGATATAAGAATAGCTATATTGTGTGTGTAGAGATAGTATGGATATAAGAATAGCTATATTGTGTGTGTAGGGATAGTATGGATATAAGAACAGCTATATTGTGTGTATAGAGATAGTATGGATAAAAGAATAGCTATATTGTGTGTGTAGAGATAGTATGGATATAAGAATAGCTATATTGTGTGTGTAGGGATAGTATGGATATAAGAATAGCTATATTGTGTGTGTAGGGATAGTATAGATATAAGAATAGCTATATTGTGTGTGTAGGGATAGTATGGATATAAGAATAGCTATATTGTGTGTGTAGGGATAGTATGGATATAAGAATAGCTATATTGTGTGTGTAGGGATAGTATGGATATAAGAATAGCTATATTGTGTGTGTAGGGATAGTATGGATATAAGAATAGCTATATTGTGTGTGTAGGGATAGTATGGATATAAGAATAGCTATATTGTGTGTGTAGGAATAGTATGGATATAAAAATAGCTATATTGTGTGTGTAGAGATAGTATGGATATAAGAATAGCTATGTTGTGTGTGTAGGGATAGTATGGATATAAGAATAGCTATATTGTGTGTGTAGGGATAGTATGGATATAAATGGTCCCTGCTTGGAATTTGGCTTCGTGTTTTTGTTCACAATCTTACAGCTCAATCTGACATGCGCAGTGACTTGGATGGAAAAATCGGCGATGTGCAGTCATCAGTTACTACTGTACCAGCTACCGTGGAAGTCATTGTCAAAAAGGTGAGTTTTTGTCATACCAATTTAGTTAAACTCGGATGGGGAGCCAATTTAATTATGATAAAACGGAGAAGAAAAAATGTTATGAGTTATGACTAACTTTCCACCAACGTAACCAGATCATATACAGTAAGGTCAGGTCGGGTCGGGTCGGGTCGGGTCGGGTCGGGTCAGGTCGCCGAATGTCTCAGTACCCCTTGTCAGTTGTGTACAATTTTGGAGCACTCTCTGACCGTATATGATCTGGTTACGTTGGTGGACAGTTAGTCATAACTCGTAACATTTTGTCCTTCTCTTTTTACCACACCGTATTATCTCCATTACTAGCACAGCCTCTTGTAGAAACCCAGTCTCTAATATAATCACACTACAAGAGGGCTTCGAAGATATACAAGTGCAGTCTCCAATATAAGTGCAGGGCTTAAAACAAACAATAGGAGGACAGATAAAGTGTTTTTACTCCGAGTTTCAAGCACTAAGCGATCATCAGAAAACAGTAATGAGAAATCTGGATCAGTGTTGGTTTATATACTCACAAAGCAAAGTGTAAATAGCTGCAGCATGGCGCAAATCTAAAAGTTGTGAATGGCGGCAGTGCAAAGCATGAATGACAGCAGTGGTGAAAGGTGACAACCACTGGAGCTGGTTGTCTCTTACTTAATTAGGTGATGGCTGTAGATGGTTTGAAGTTCCGAAGGTAGTACCTATTCTCATGGCGACACTTCGACACAAGCTCACTCCTTTTGTTGAGAGAGAGGTGCTTGGGTGCTTGCGCGATTGCCAATTATTCTGCCAGGCAATCTTTTCTGCGACTGAACGCACAGGGCAGGTTGTGGGATAGCTGCTTGCGTGCAGTAACACTGTGCCACCAGCGCCCGACTGTGCCGTCTTTGTTACCCCTAGGGTGATCGTGACCTTCTCCTCCGAGAGGGCGACATGGCTCCTCTGAAGAGTCCTGTGAGTATCCACCGTTGTTGGTGATGGCGCCGTGTACTCGCTCACACGCATGAGCCCGTGGAAAGCTGTGAATACTGCTGCCCAGAGCATAGCCTTGTCTTGCGGTGCATAATGCGAGAACTCCAGAAATTCGGATAGCCTTGAGGTCGTTGGGTGTCACCGCACGTATGGATGACGGAGGCACAGGCATTGGCCTGGACGTCAGCTTGTCACGGTCGATGCCCTTCAGCAAAGCCAGTATCCTGGGTGCTCTGAGCAGATCCACCGGACCATCATTCAATACGAAGTGGTGGCGGACGACTGCTAGGTATACCTTGATTGTCTTACCAGACAGTGACGCGGACAGTGACGTCATGAAAAGAACTATATCATTGACCGTCGGTGCCAGATGCCTGAAGCGGAGCTGCTGGGCAAACTGAATGTAGGACCTGACTCCAGGGCTGTAGGTCTGGCGTGTCTGGGGCGCCACCGATTGGGCCAGGAGCCTGCTGGCTTCAGGGTCGAGTATCTCCCTCCTGGTGGTGGCTGGAGGTGAATGATGTCGACCCCACCCATCTGCAATGTGGGGACACGGCAGCAGCACCAAACGCAGTGAATAATAAAATAAGCAAGCAGTTAAGCCAGTACGAAGAGCAAAACATGACCTAACCATCGCATCTTTTGACTTTGAAGGCAAACTAACTGGCTGCTTGCGATGTATGGAATCGAGCATGAGTACGAGGACGAAAGTGCGGAATCGGAGCCCGACGCGCGCTAGCGCGGAGGGCTCCGATTCTAGCACTTGAGTCCGAGTACGAATGCTTTGATACCATTTCTGACATGCATTGCACGAACTACTTCGTACTACTAGTACTAGGCGTGCTCCGATTCAATCGGAGCACGCCTGGGCGTGCTCCGATTGGAAAATCGGAGACCTGCAAGCGCTCACAGGTCTTCAGTGGCTGATTCAAAGCACGGCAAGTCGCGCTAGGATTCGCTGTTGCCATGTCGATTGTCATGTGACATGTCAGAAACATATTTATTTGCCGGAGCATCCCGGTATTAATGCGCCGGTTTGGACGCGTTTGAGCATCCCGGCGCTCGCCTTACAATCATCAGCGTCCGTCGCCAGTTTGCGTATTGAGAGCATCCTGGTGCCAGCTATCCTAAATGATGGAACGTTCTCCATTTGTTAGTGTTTGTCTTCGTTTAACATGTATATTACTCCGTATGTCGTCATTGGACACTGCTCGATTATTCTCACCTTGTGCGTTTCACTATTTGTAACGTGGCTCCTCTGCTTCAGTTTTTCTCTCTGGAAGGGACAGCCACCACCCGTCTGGTGGGTGCCAGCATCCTCCGGCAATTGCGCTGGGACTCTACGATACATTCTTGTTCTCCGATAATTAAAAATCTGCCTTTCTAGTTCTTCGCTGTTTGAACGAGAGAGCTTGGAAGCTCAGGGCCCTACGCTATGCTTTTTTTGCCTTGATGACCTACATGTAGACAAAAAAAAAGCATAGGGATGTTATAAATTCTTTAAAAAATCCTTTTTTTTTAAGACATAACCTGGGATTCGAATCCGCACTATCGCGCGCCAAGTTGTTTCACATTGTGATCTTGCATTTGAAAGCCCTATTTGAATATGCATTGTGGCCAGCCGTCTTTGATGGCACAGTACGGTAGGGGATAGGTACGGGACAGGTACGATCGAGGGTAATACGACACCGTCTCCCGTCCCGTACCATCAAACACTGCTGGTCACATACAGCTGCCCGCAATACTAAAATAGGGCTTTCAATCGCAAGATAATAACGTGAAGCAACTTGGAAGAATGGGTATGAATGCGAGGTGTATGGGGGAATGCATGTAGGGCGCAATAGTGCGGGTTCGAATCCCAGGATATGGCTGAAAAAAATAGGAGAATTGAAAAATTTATAACATCCTATGCTTTTTTTCCGTCAGATACGGATAGCGCCAGGCGTGACACAAACAAACAAACAAAAAAACACACAAACAAATACCAAATTAAAGCTGTGTGGACCCTGGCTAGCGCCAGACGTTACTGAAGTAACGTCTTCTGCATAGCTACGGGAATTATTATTAAATTTTATTTGTGCCGTTTCTTGCGGCACTCGCTTTTGTGTAGATTTGACCTTGTTTGCATGTCCGCATGAGTACAGATGACATCATGCATTCTTTTCTGTCACGTGTTTTGCTTTGCGATTGTCGTTCAAGATGCTTGAACTGCGCCCGCTGGCCGATTTTCTTTGCTTGCTGTTTTCTTTGCCAGTCAAGCGTGGGGACGCTACGGTGTTGTCCTCCTCGGCTGTGTGTCCGGTACAGGGCTGGGTACGTGCGTCCCCAGCTCTCCGTTCTTTGTTCGTTTTGAGTTGGACTCTTCAATGGTGTTTTGAGAACATTTTTGGTAATACCGTCTTCTAAATAGATCGATGCATCCAATGGTTGTGTCTGATGTCAGTGTGGGTTTGCGAGGGAACCGGTGAAACATTTGGTTCTTCGAGCCTGATCCAACAGGTTCCGACTAGTAGTGTCAGCGGTGGTAATGGCGTTTCCGCCACCACCAGAGTTTGTGACTAGTAGTTTTACGCCACGCCATTATGGTACGAGCGTGGGTGAAACTCCTGTTGAGGAACTTGAGGACCGCTGGAAAGAGTTGATTCGTCGCAGAACAAACCTCCGTAGACGCCACACGCGGATCAGTAACCGCTTGCGAACACTGATTGCTTGCTCGTCGCCGTCTCGCCGATATTTGCAACCTGATGTTCGTGAATTAGAATTTGTACGGTCAGAGGTGAATTTGGTTTTAGAAATTATGCGCAGCATGTTGGACTCCCAAGAGGGTGAGCAACTGCTCAATGAGTTGGACGAGTGGGAGGCGAAGTTTGATAAGGAGAGTGTTGGTGTGATGGCTGCTGCTGAGGCGATCTTGGATTCACCTGTTGAGTCGGTTTCTGGCCAAGTGGCATCAGGCCAACAATCAGCAGTCACCGAACAGGTTACCCCTGTGCCACCATTAACACCACCACACATGCGGCCTGTACCACATATACCAGCACCACGCACACAGCCAACACCACCACACATGCGGCCTGGGCCACCTCTACCAGCACCACGCACACGGCCAACACCACCACACATGCGGCCTGGGCCACATATACCAGCACCACGCACACAGCCAACACCACCACACATGCGGCCTGGGCCACCTCTACCAGCACCACGCACACAGCCAACACCACCACACATGCGGCCTGGGCCACCTCTACCAGCACCACGCACACAGCCAACACCACCACCAAGGCCAAGTAGTCTGAGCAGTAGACTAAGCGTGACGTCAGTTGGTTCTAGTGCTCCTGCCAGTAGACTTTCTGAGTGGTCTCCTCAACCGGAATCTGCTGTCGACCCCCATGTTAGCGATTGGCTTGCCAGTATGCAACGGCCACATGGATTAAGCGCTTTTCACCATCTGAAGCCACTAGAGCTGCCGAAATTTAGTGGCAGGACCCAGCAGTTTGTACGTTGGAAACAAACATTTAAGCGCCTCGTGGACGAGGACCGCTTCGTCTCTGACGAATATAAACTAGCACGACTGAAGGAGGCGCTGCAGGGTAGCTCGGCCGAAGACATTATCGCGGATATGTTCGACGGTCCGGGTGCATACACTGCAGCCTGGACAGAGCTTGAGCGCTGGTTTGGTGGTTCCGATCGCCATCTTGCCTTGCAAGAGAGAGATTCTGAATCACCCACGCATTGCCTCTGACAGGGACACCGAGTCTGTCCGAAAGTTTGCTATAAGTATAAAGCTCAGAAATGTGCCCATGAACCTGGACTTGGCTGGAGAGACGCCTGGCAGGGAGCTATTCCTAAGTGCGCTGGAGAAGCTACCCAGAAGTGTAGTTATACGATTTTACGAACAACATCCAGACAGCAAATGCAACGCAACAATGTTGTCGTTCTGGCTGGTAAAACAGGTCCAGAACTCTAAGCGAGCCGATGACATCTTGGCGACAGTTGGCACAGAGAAGTTGAACAAGACACCTCCT